GCCTTTAGAGAAAGACGAAGAACGGGGGTATTATGAAAGGAGGAACATAACATAGCAGRACCGTGTTGTGGAGATAAAGGGGAGCAAATCGTAGGGTAAAGGGGTGGGGGGGATTGCGTCCWATATCAATCAAAGGCATCCTCAAGAACTTCTGAACCGTTGATCCTTTACAATCGAGTGGATTAGTCAAATCAATCGACCCGGTTCGTGATGCGGCCAGAGGTATTCGAAAGAAGAGAGGTCACGCMCAGAAGAGGGATCGCATCAGTTTATTGCCGGAAACAAGGACAATCCATGCAGCAGATCGCAAAAAAGACGGGGGGTGGGAAAGGGGGGGAGAGAAGGAGGGGGGGAAACGGGATAGTCGTATTTCTAATACTAAAGAGCAAGAACAACAATCGGAGGGGGGAGGAGGGGGGATGAAAAAAGTCTTGACCGCGACCAGTCTTTTATCAACGATGCTATAATCCAGGGTTTTTATTACGCCGGAGAGTTGTCTAAGTGAAAGATCGGTCGCCAGTCTTTGGAGACCCTTCGTAATGCTAGATACCCCTCTGACCGAGCGGAGGATCCTTCCTATGGGCCAGATAACCGTGCGGTTCAAAAAATATATATATAAAAATTATATATATAAAATTATATATAAAAAAAAAAAATATATATATATACATATATAAAAAGGGGGGGAATATAGGAGGGAATCATATCAAAAACTTATGCATGAGCGAAGAAGAAGCTCGTAAATGAGAGATCTCGACTAGTATGCAGATGCGATCTCACTTCCAGGCAAGAGACAGACCGATAGAATTGGCCATTGTTGCTCTCTGTTAGGAAGGGGGGGTCTCATCCGTGCACACAGCCAATCCATTGTAGACAGAATTAACGATCCCTCACCAGTACTATAGCTATTCAAAACAAGTTGTGGGTGGGGAGGGGGGGGGTGGTAATCGTAATACCCTTCAACAAAAGGGAAAAGGGAAACCAGGGCATGCATATGCGATTAGTCTTTCATTACTGCGCTTCCATTTCGGTCCATTCATAGGACTGTCCTGCAGGCAGATTTTGGCGAAAAAAATCATCATTATGCAATACTCTCGAGGAGTCGGAAAGAGGGTGCGATGGGGAGGAAAAAGGACGAAGTCTTTTAGACAGCAATATCATTCACTAGTTAATGGTAGAGTTCTTTTACAGCAAAAAAAAAATAAAAAAATAATAAAAAATGAAAAAATAGGAAAAGAAAAGGAAAAAAAGAGAAACGAAAAGAAAAAAAGAAGAAAAAAAGAGAAAAAGAGAAAAAGGAACAAAAGAAAGAAAAAGAAAAAACAAAAACGGGGACGGGGAGGGGGAGGGGGGAAAAAAAGGAAGGAAGCACAAGGGTACCAGTATGTGGTAAGCCTTTCATCCCCGCGCTTCTAATTAGAAAGAAGCGTAGGTAGCTGAAAGAATGATCACATATTTTTTTAAGAAATTCTTCTTACGGCACAAGACTACCATAGGGATGTGCGAGGAAAAATGACGAAGAAACTTCTGACATCCACATCACTCATTAACAACCGAATTCATACGCTCGAAAAAAAGTACATGCTGCCAAAAAGTCGTCTCTGTAAACAAGATAGGGTCAGGTAGAGAGAGAGAACGAGAGGACAGAGAGGGGATGAAGAAGAAAGGAACGAGAAGCCTGCACCGTGCCATTTAGTGTCCTGATTCCGCATTAACATGCAAGGGACAACAAAGCAGATCCACAGGCGGGGTGGCACATCCCTGAGGCCTTTCTGCTGCCTGCCACTGGCAGCGTCATCAGAGGGGGRACCTTCCCCTTTGTCGTCGGAAGGCCGAGAATGAGACGAGGGAGGGTCTTGATGGCTGGGGGTGGAAGGAGAGGGGGAGGGTGGAGGGGGATGGGTTACAGGCGCCTTGCAAAGGGGAGAAGCCGTGGAACGAGGATAACCATACCAACATGGCGATCGTGAACCGTGAGGCGAAACTGTAGCGTCGAGAAGTTCACAGTGTGCGATGTGCGGATCCTGCGTATGCGGGCCAGCAGAAGGGAGGGAAGCGAGGAAGAAGAGGACAACCAGCAAGGAGAGCACTGCGAGATATGCGAGGAAGATGCACGCTGATACCTCCATGGAAGACCTCTCTCCGGCTTCGTATTGTGCCATCTTCTGCGTGAGAGCCTAGTGATGCTAAGCTTCTCAAAACACCAGTCGGGAGGTACGAAGGATTAGCGTAAGAGCAGTGTGCTGGCTGACTAGGCTATAAGGTCATGCAGGAGGAGCATAGCAGCGAGGAGCGCGAGAGTACAGAGGGCGCTGAGGGAGGCGAAGAAGAAGGTAGTAGCGCGAATGAGGAGCGAGAAGCGATGCGATTGGGAGAGCATTGTGCACTCAGTCTGGCACACCCAATAGAGGAAGGCTCCGATGAGGAGGTTGGGTACGAACGCTAAGCAGAATGCGAGCGAGCAGAGGATTGCCAGGAGAGCAAGTGGGTCCAGGCCACTCGGCTTCATGACGATACCCCTTCCTGTGAATCGACAACTTCCTCCTCGAAGTCCGGATCGATGTGGAAGTCCGTTCTCGCGCCTCTAACCTCTCGGTAGCAGGAGCAGGAAATTGTCAAAGAAGCAGTACTCCGCAGTAAATCCTTCGATCGGCGATACGCAGGACCGGTCTTCAGTCATACCACGCGGAATTCGCACTCATTTGGAAGTACTCCCCAAGGCCAAGCTCAGCATCCTTAAGTATAGCTCGAAAAACAACTGTGTCGGCGATCCGTAAGCCTGAAGTTGTCGGGACTATCCGTCCTTAGAGGTGAGCCCGATTGCGGCCTATCTCCGTACGAGGCTGTTCCCCGGAGAATAGTCTTAGACTTCAAAAAGGTTCCCTGCACTTTGGCGGGTACCACGATGTACAACTGCTGAAAAAATTACAAAAGAAGAAAAAAAAAAGAAAAAAAGGGAAACGAAAAAAAAATAAAAAATAATAAAAAATAAAAAAAAGAGCAAGAAAAAAAACAAAAAATGGGGAAAAGGGAAAGAAAAGGAAAGGAAAGAAAAAGAAAAGGAAAAAAAGGGAGAAAAAAGGAAAAAAGTAAAAAGAAAAAAATAAAAGAAAAGAAAAAAGAAAAAAAGACGAACAAAAAACGAAGAGGAAACGGAAAACGACAGACCACGGGAGCTTGGTCCGGAGGAGAGCATCGGAAAGTCACGAAGGCGGGGGTACTATTACGATAAAAAGGGTTTGTGCGTATCGGCTTGCGCGCACTGCGCAAGCAGC